AATTTCCTACATTTAACACATTTATGAATGTATTCCGAAACCGCACTGGTACATCCCAGAATCCAATAACCGTTTAAACGAAGTTCATTCACAGTAAGTCCACGACCTTGGTGTTCACACAATTCATGATGATGAGCAATTAAAAGTTCTGTCACGAAAGACTTACGCGGCATAATAATTGGGTATTTCTCAGCACAACTTAGTCTTGAGTTACCAAGTCGTCCACCAACTCGTAAAAGGTTATGATCATCCAAAAATGGATCTAACTTACTCAAAGTTGAATTCTTTTGTATATACTTCCGACGCAAACGAAAGTCATTTCTATTAGACTCATTTTGAAGCTGTTTCACGGATCGCAAAGTTTCCAACTCCTTACTAAAAACTTCTGATTGAACTAGCTTCAATAACACAATTTCTGCTTTATTAAGTTCGTTAACCCTTAAAGGTCCAACAGGATTTTCAATATTAGTGTCCTTAGCAATTCGATTTCTAAGAATAGACATGTAACGTAAACAGTAGGCAATAACCTTTTTAAGTTGAAACCAACTAGAACAAAAACTCAGTCTCATCACAACAAAACTGTTCTCGGTTTTCAGAGCGAAAGAGTTAATTTTACAAATGTTAGGATCATCTGCCTCAAAGGCGATACTCGAATAATCTTCCGTGTCATCCGGTATTACAGATTTCCACAGAAACGCTGGTCCTTTAAACCAGATTGAATTTTCAACTAAGTCATTAGCAGATGCGCCCCTAGACGCTATGTCCGCAGGATTTGCTTTCGTTGTAACATGATGCCATTCTCTCGGTTGTGAATGATCTCGGATTTTCTGGAACCGATTTGCAACAAATGTTTGAAAGCGACGAACATCGTTGTTTATATACATGTACCCTAATACGACACGACTATCAGTCCAAAAATATTGAGCAACTGTAGGGTATCCTAATTCTTTTTTAATAAGTAAGTTCACATTGACAGCAACGACAGCTGCAGTCAGTTCAAGACGTGGAATAGTTATAGCTCGCAACGGAGTCACTCTGGACTTCGACATGACTAATGAAACATAAACACGTTGATTAGCATCCACTAGTCGCAAATAAGAGCATTCTCCATAGCCGAATGTACTCGCATCCGAAAAATTATGAATCCCTACGGAAACCACAGTTCCAAAACCATCAGGCTTGAAACATCTATCAATCTTAAGAGTCTCAATTTTAAACAGTTCATCTCTCCACCGTTGCCAACGTGGTAGCAAATCTTCAGGAATCACATCATCCCAACCAGTGTTAAGCCTACACATTTCTTGTAAAACTTGTTTCCCAACTAATAACAAAGGAGATATGAAGCCAAGCGGATCGTATATCGAACTTATAATAGAAAGTATACCTCTTCTCGTTAAAGGTTTATCCGAAAGTTTGATTCGAAATCGGAACGCATCCGACTCAATGCACCACTCAATCCCTAGTGCACGTTCTGTTGGGAGATCATCGATAGTCAAATCGAGATTCTTTACTCCTTCCGCACGATCATGACACGGTATAGATTCAATAACTTCTGCTGAATTAGATAGAAATTTATGCAAACGTATTCCACAACACAATAAAAGTTCCTTACTCTTACTGATTAGGTCGATAGCTTCACTCACAGACGAAACTGACGTTAAACCATCGTCAACATAGAAATCCTTCTGAATGAAATTTGAGACAACTGTGCCGAAATCTTTCTCGTGATCTTTCGCGGCTTGTTTTAAAGCAAAGTTTGAGCATCCCGGAGATGACCCAGCCCCAAACAAATGAACAGTCATACGGAATTCTTGAGGTTTAGAGTCACAATTACCATTTCTCCACCAGAGAAATCGAAGGTAGTCTCGGTGTTCAACATTAACGTGAAACTGGTAAAACATCTTTTCGATATCGCAAATAAAGGCAACTCGTTCTTTCCGAAATCGACAAAGTACACCAACTAAGGCGTTTGTTAAGTACGGTCCTTTCAACAGGTAGTCATTCAAAGATTTATCTCGGAACTTAGCTTGACAATCGAATACCACACGGATTTTTCCAGGTTTCTTTGGGTTGTAAACGGCGTGATGCGGAATATAATTAACATGTTCAGATATGTACGAATCATCACTAACCCTTTCGGCATATCCTTTATCAATAATGTCTTCCATAAAACTTACGTAATCTGAGCGCAAATGTTTATCCCTACGAAGACGTGACTCTAAATGATACAAACGACGAAGTGCTAAAGTTTTATTATTCTGCATAACTGGTTCAGAACTCCGAAACGGTAATGGCATTTCGTAATGTCCATCTGGCGCAATATGAATCTCTCGCGACATTATGTCCAAAAATCTCCGGTCGTCACTAGACATAATTGAAGAGTCATCCAAGTGTTCATTGAAATCCATTTCCATGAGCTTAAGAATACAATCTGGACTGATGACTTCCTTTATCTTGTTGCGAAACGAAATATGAACTTGACCTTGATTGCAGGGATCGACAACATCCTGTCGACCATCAATGTCCGCAGTGTTCAAATTAGGCACTTCACAAGTTATTATGCGATGACTCAAGCCAATATGATCTACTTCATTAGTCGAATTAAAATCTACAATACCAATGATGCCCCAACCCAAGTCTGCCCGTTCAGCGTATGGACCATTACTCTCGGGGGGTATGACATAGCGTGGAACTAGAGCTCTTGCGCAATCGTAACCAATGAGCAATCCAACGTCGCAACTCATCAAAGGTTGAAGTTTATTTGCAACGGGTTCTAAATATGACCAACGCTTCGCCACATCAGGTGTCGGTATATGAGTACGATTAGCCGGCATAATATCTCTTGTATAGGTATCAGGCAGCGGGATTCTAACGTCAAAATTATAGCCACGCACAACAAGACCATTAAGTTTACGACTGTCGATAAGAGTGTCTTTAGCAAACATAGTAGACAAAGACAATTTAACAGGAAGTCCTTCTATGTCAAGAGCATCACATGTTTTGTCTAAAACAAATGTTGTGTCGGACTGAGAATCCAAAAGAGCATACGTCAAAATTTCTTTACTTGGATTATCTTTGTGAGACAACCACACGGGTACGATCATAGCGCACTTATCAGTCCCAGTTCTTAAAGTATGCGAAACAGCAGACTTGACTTCAGTATTTTCATTACGCATTGGCCTACTTGGTTGACCAGTATCTCCATGAAGTAATGAAGGATGCAAATGATTACAAATTCTACACCTGAGTCTTGATTTACAAGCACGTGACACATGCCCAAGACATAAGCAAGCAAAACATAATCTGTTTGACCTCAGAAAGTCTTTACGGTCAGACATTGATTTTTTAGTGAATAAAGTACAATCATTAATGGAATGACTTGATCTATGACAAAAGGCACAATTTTCTGGAACATAACTCGAATATTCCTTTATTTCAGTTGAAAATGCAGTTCTACGTTGATATGTTGAAGGAACATGTTCTTTCTTATTAGGCGCATATGTAATGGAAGTTAAAGGGTCACATACAATGTCTGCTTCATCAGTCACAAAGCCAACAAATTCACTAAAGGGAGGGAACTCTTGTCTCTTTTTTCTATAATCACTAACAGTTCTTCCCCAACGCATCACCAACCAATCAGGGAGTTTATTTAACAGTTTTCTATTTTCACGCATATCATTCAGTACATTAAGGCAATTAATAGTTCGCATCGCAGTGTAACACTGTTTAAGAAAATCCGCAAAATGACGCAGTGCAGGACCATCTCGGTTAGGTACTTTTGGCCAAGCCTCTAATTTGTCCCTAAATGCATTAGCCACAATAAATGGATCGCCATATCGCTTTTCAAGCAATGACTTTGCATCTTCAAATGCTGTCGGAGTGTCAAGAAGACAGTAACTTTCAATGGCTTCCTTAGCTGGACCACTGATATATCGATGCAGATAATGCATACATTGTTCTTTCGGAATGTTCTTATGTTCGATCAGTGTTTTAAAGGCACACTTCCAGTTTGGATATTTCAAAGGGTCACCGGAAAACACACCTGTGGTTCTGGAGGGGGTAATCTATTAAAGTTAGCCTGATCTGTCAAAATACGAACCAAGTCACTGGCAGGTACATGTACAGCGGAAGACACTTGGGCAGGAGCGGACTGTGACGCATGAGAGTGATCAGCATTGTTCATAGGTGGGGTATTATTATATACATCACTAACTGGAATTTGGGGGCGGCGGTAAAGACACCAAAGGTGAACTGGCAGGAATGACAGGTTTACTTATCAAACTCACAGGGTTAATAGGGTTAACTGCAGGTGACAAGTGAGGCGGATCACCATAATCTGTAGAAAAATTATGACTATTCACAAAGGTTGCGACAAGTTCTGACTTATTTTGTTCACATACTGGTATCATGGATTCAACTTTAAAATCTTCATTTTCAAATCTTCGAAGAGCATTCACCTTTGCATTCGCAATATCCAAATCTTTACGTAGCTGAATATTTTCAAGTTCTAATTTCTTTTCGGCTTCTATGGAATGATACTTTAATTTCTGTTCAATAACAGCTGCTTCCTCGGCTGCTTGAATTAACTTCAATGAAATAACTGACAATCTTTTTGATGAACGTTCAGAGTTTTTCGCTGATCTTGATTTAACAGAACCGTATGCACTCTGATCAGTAGGATCAACTGGATCACTCGCAGACGTAGCCATTGTAAACAATGCGCAAACGAAAAAATATAATGTCCTCTTCATCAATACTGCCGCAATTTTTATAACAGTTCAAATAATACTAAGGACGCACTAATGTCAGAAAACTTCAAAGTTCACTTACATATTTACCGCATAAAGTTCCTTTCATTCCATTCGAAAGGTGTTCGAACTCCGTGCAGAGGAGTTTTCACTATAGAGGCAGCTGGAGACCTAGACGAACGCACCCAGCCTGTGATCATGATAACAGGAGTATAACACCATAGATTGAAAAGGAGACTCGATTAACTGTAATACACCATATACATATCTTTATTCATTGTCTCTTTAATGCTTCATGACATCGGACGAGGATATCATCGTATAAACATTGGAAATAGCCTAACGTAGAATATCATACAATCATGATGAACGCAAACAACTTAGACTCGAACTTCCAGACTTGAATTAAAAGACATGCCGGTAACACAGACGTGAAAACTGAAAAATACAAATTAATACAGTTTAACACAACGCAAAACCTAGCAGGACAAATAAATGAATACTACATTAAACGAAATATGCCATACAAATGCAATATTACAGAATTATTTACCTCCAAGAGCCTGTTAACTTGACCACACGCAAAAACGAAAAAACATGGTTTCTAGGAAAGCCATTTGCAAGACTGACACAGGGAGCATTAATTACGCAGGGATATTAAACAATTTAACATCAATGCTTTAGGTTACTATTTTACGAAGCGTAGCGCAGCCTGGAAGTTTATAACATAATAAATTAATATACATAAAAAACATACATCAAAAAAACATTACAACAGTTCACAGAGTTCATATTATTAGACAATAACAATAACCTATCCCTTAAACTAAAAGCTCTTCTATCATATTAACTTATGGCTGTTCCAACGTACAAACTGACCCGATTTATGAATCGGTTACACAACCTGTAAATGTTTATAACATGGTATGAATGTGCGCATTGATTCGCAGATTATCTACATCAACTGGCTATAGGTAGATGCTCTTACCTACATCGACTGGCTATAGGTAGATAATCTTACCTGCATCGACTGGCTTTACTTTCTACTGTAGGACATTTTACCTACAGGTATAGGTATGTGTTTTATGATAGGGCATTTTAATCTTACCTGCATCGACTGGTTTTACTTTCGTGGATAATGGACATTTTAATCTTAACATACATTATGCAAGAGCTAAATCTGCCTATTGTAGGTCTTTCTTAACGCTTGAAATGTTATGTAAACTATTAATTAGACTTTTATTAACATGGCAAGACCATAATTAACCCTCGATGTCATCGGATATCTCCAATATTAAGTACATTAGAACGGTTCAGCCATATTTTGATTTTATCTAAACAAAATGGTGAAGCGAGACTAAGCTTCAAAGAACCAGTGCGTAATCCAAATCTTACATAATGCACCCCTAAAATAAATGTATAAAGGAAGTATCAAAATATAACTTAAATACTGACTTTTAATAACAATTCTATTGCCCCAAATCTAGAAAGGGGTTTATAAAAACGACGAGCTTATGTAGAAAACCGTACGTAACTAACGTACGAAAATTAAATGGTAGCTGGCTTTTTTTTTCGCACGTATACAGTGAATGGCCATTTTGCTCAGTAATCCCAGCCAAAATTTGGCTATTTTTTAAAATTGCGTTAAAGTTTTAAATTTTTGTTTAGAACAAAATAAATTAACTTTTAGTCAATCCCCACGCTAATAACATTAACAGAATTGATTGTGTATATCTGAAATAGACACGACCGAAGCACAAAATAGTGCCAATATACCGACGTCAAATCTAGATTTTTGTGAAAAATCATTGGAAGAAGCGATAGGACGTTCTGTACGGATTATACAGTCCTAAAGGCTGCAAGAAGGCTATTGTTTACAATGTAACATTGTGTCTTGTAATGTTGATAATGATCATAATGATGGTGTTTACATTTGTTTGTTGATGTGACCTCATGACCTGTGACGTTTGGATAACACCATATGGTTATCATGGCTATTCACTGTGTCAGAGTCACTTCTCTGCAGGTAGGGTGAGTCTGTCGTTCAGATTGGTAGAAAACGTGAAACTGAGAAACCTGACCCCAAGGACAAATTCTTGGCAACTAAAGAATTCTACGAAGAGATCGTATTAACTGTAGTTAATGAATATATTTATATGCACGGGGAAATTGTGATGCTTGCCATAAAGCAAACCTTGTTTATGTCGAATAGGATCTACACACAGGCACTTGAAGGGATTGAAATAAAATTTCTTACTACTGCTTGACTATATATATACTATAATATATAGTCAAGCAGTAGTAAGAAATTTTATTTTAATCCCTTCAAGTGCCTGTGGATCTACAGCCCTTATATGCCTGACAACAGCTTAAAGGTGCATTAATGCCATTATGCAATATTCAGAAACGAACTGTCAATTTTCGTTATAATAGTTAAACAATAGATAATGAATAGGGAATATATTGAAAATTTCAGTCAAATTACTCCATTCTGGGCGGAGTTATTGCCGTTTGAAGAACATTTTGGTCTCGAGTGTCATTGCTACCGTAATATTTACAACACTAGGAGCTCACTTGAAATAAAGCTCTGAGTGCCTTTTCGTTACTGTTCAACAAACTTCTCTTGCATCTCAACTGGAGGGGAGTGGGATGGCCGAATGGTTAGCACGTGCGCTGTATCACACGGTCTGTCATTGAGTCAACTGGCGGGGTTTCGATTCCCCGGTTGTACGTAACAAGGAGTAGGATAGTCTGTCCAACCTCGTGGGTTTTCTCCGGGTCCTCCGGTTTCCCCCCACTGCTAAAGACTCCTACGCGCAGCTAATTATTGAAATAAAAAATTGAACCATGTGTTAGTCCAGAAATGACCTAGTTTGTGTCGAGTGGACGTTAAACCCCATCTCCCTCTCTTTCTCTTGAACATCATTTATTTGCTCGATCTATTGGGTGTTTATATTATTCTGTAATTATCACCACAGTTCATAAGTCACATATTAAAGCTCACATACCAAACTATTATTAGCTATGTTCAGTCAGTCTTATTATTATAATACTTAAAGGGAGATTAGATAAAAAGTTGACAGTTCTGGCTATAATAGTTAAAAAATAGATAATGAAAGGTGAGTTGACAGTTCTCGCTATAATAGTTAAAAAAAATAGGGGAATATGTTGCAAATTTCGGTCAAATTACTTCACGTTGAGCCTAGCTATCGGCGATACAATTATAGTCTACCCTCGATTGTCATCACTACCATAGTTTAGCCTCGATTGTCATAACTACAATAGTCTAGTCTCGATTGCCTTGATTGTCCATTTTTACGGTAACCGCATCAACCGCAAAACGTATTTAAATCTACTTGATATCGTAGCCATCCGATGGCATCGAGAGTTGATTATGGTCTTGGTGAGTTAATTAATGTTTAATTAATAATTTATATCACATTTAAGGCCTAAAGAAAGGCCTGCAATAGCAGATTTAGCTCTGGCATTAATGCCTGTTTAATGTAGTCCAGATTAGCAAACATTTTCCCTCTTAGACTTCAGTGTTAAATCCATGGCATTTCTTGGCCTGTCATATTTTTTCAACATTCCGATGATCTGAATTTTTAGAACCACAAAGAATCATAATCATTTGCTAAAAATAGGTAAAAACGCCATTTTCGATCACCATAGTTTACGCCTGTCGACTTCCTGATCCTTCCGCTCCAAAATCACAAACATTCACTCAACCGTGGCAGAAAAGGGAAATTCAAACATTCTCCTCCATTTCCGAAACAAAAGTTAACAACAATTGTCAACAAGAATTGCTATAAATAGAAGCACAACATTCGTCCATCTGACCAGGGGTAGCAATTACTTGTCTTAGTCAAAATAATATAATCTGTGTCTCTTTTTGAAGTATACAGCATGTCCACAGACTAGAACATGAACGACGCAGTTTCCGAAATAAGACTTTTATGAGCCACGGCGTGGAAGGGAGATACTAATTCATCTTAAACATAGTTCCTTTTATCTGGAATGCACGAAATATTAGTATACTAGCAGGATACCCGGCTTCGCTCGGGGGTCATAACTCCCAAACCGGAAGTGGTAGACTAACGCCACCTGGCCTATGTTACTCCCCGGTCCGAGCTACCCCTATACCCCAAATTTCAGACTCGGGGCAGACCTAGTGTAGCCGCCAACCCCGAACAGACAGACAGACAAATAGACAAACGACAGTCACAAATATTAGTATAGTATATTAAATTTAAATATTTAATTCAAAACTCTTTAGGGTGCAATAATGGGGCTTAATCATCAATGAACTTTGATGTTATGAATCCCCTTTGTCAATGGGGAAGGGTGGGGCCAGGTGGTTAACAAAGTATAGTCCTTCGGATGGAACGAAAAAACCGAGGTCTCGCGTCCACATTGGCTTGTACGTAAAAAAAAATAGACAGTTCGAATTTGAAATAAGAGTAGATCGTAGTGCCAGCGTCCGGGAAAAAACTTCCCTTAAGGCTCGCTGTAAGGCGCATGTCCGTCTTCATTAACCCACTCATAGCAGCATAGTAGGGCAGGACGTTAAACCCATTTCATTTCTTATAGAATCATTAGAAGAGATGGCAGCTGACGAACTAAACAATCGAGGTGAACATATGTCCATAACAGAGCAACTCCAAAAGTTATTATTTCCAGACAAACACGAAACAGCATCTACAACTGATTTACCACAAAGATTAGCACCCGGTCAGGCCATGATACACAAACAGATACTTAAAGAGAATGTCAACAACGACAGGAGCGATAAAAGCGATACATTACAAGACGCTTGTAGAAATGGATCTGTAGGTGATGTTAAACATCTGATAGATCACGGTGTAGATGTCAATAGGAAAGGTTTATATGGCAGAAGTTGTATCTTACTTTGTTGTACATCACTTATTGAACCCATTGAAAAAATAGAATTACTAAGGTCAAATGAGGCCAATATTCAAGATATTGACGATGAAAACAATGGTATGTTACATTTGGCGTGTGGTTTAGGCACGCTAGAAACAGTTCGGTATCTTGTAAATATAGGGGTAGATTTCAACACTAAAGGGTTTAAAGGTAGATCCTGTATCATGGCGTGTAGTGAGTCGAAAACACAAGCAATTGACAAAATAGAATTGTTACGGAAAATCGGTGGGAATATCCAAGATATTGATGTAAATAATGATAGTATGTTACACCTAGCTTGTCTTGGTGGTACACTAGAAACTGTTAGATATCTTATTGATCAAGGTCTAGATATCCACACTACAGGGAGGTATGGCAGAACATGTTTATTATTATGCAGTCAATCTCAAACACAAGCAATTAAAAAAATTGAATTATTAAGATCAAAGGGGTGCAATATTTTCGATTGTGATGATAACAATGACAAAATGTTAAACGTGGCTTGTACTTTTGGTAAATTAAATACAGTAAGATATCTAATTGATCTGGGGTTAGATGTAAACTCTCAAGGAGGGCGTGGCAGAACGTCTGGTTTAAAATGTTGTCCAGATGTACATCCATTTAAATCACAGGCTGCCAAGCGATTAAAGTTATTAAGGCTAAGTGGGGGTAATATCATTGATTTTGATGCCGATAACTATGGTATGTCACACTTGGTTTGTGGTTTGGGTCCATTAGGTTTTGAAAATTATAAAATAAAACTACTGTTAGGTATCAAAACCAAAACGATCGGAGAGTATGGCAGAACATGTATCTTAAATTGTTCTCAATCCAAAACACAAGCCATCGAGAAAATAGAATTACTAAGGCAAATGGGGGGTGATATTCATGATGTTGATGCCGATAATAATGGTATATTGCACATGGCTTGTATTTCGGGTACGTTAAATACTGTAAAATATCTGATAGGTCTAGGGATGGACATAAATACCAAAGGGAGGGATGGGTGCACATGCATCGTATATTGTTGTCAATCTACAACACAGGCCATTGCGAAAATCGAATTCTTAAGGTCGAAGGGGGCTTATATATTTGATACACATAATGATCTTATATTACACTTTGCTTGTGCTTTTGGTACATTAGATACCGTAAGATATCTGATAGATCTAGGCTTCGATATAAACACTAAAGGCTTTAAAGGCAGAACATGCATTTTAAACTGTATTAAATGTGAAACACAAGCCATTAAGAAAATAGAATTATTAAGGCTAAAGGGAGGTAATATCCATGATACTGATGACGACAACAATGGTATATTACACCTGGCTTGTGCTTATGGTACATTAGATACCGTAAAATATCTGATAGGTCTGGGGCTAGATATAGACAAAAAATCTTTTGTAGGTAGAACGTGTATGTTACAGAGCAGTATCTCTGAAATACAAACAATGGATAAAATAGAATTTCTAAGGTCGAAGGGGGGTAGTATACATGATACTGACAATAAAAACAGTGGTTTGTTACACTTGGCCTGTCTTCGGGGTACATTAGATATAGTAAGATATCTTATAGATCTAGGGTTAGATATAAACACCAAAGGTTTTGAAGGTCGAACATGTATGTTAATATGTAGTCAATCTAAAATACAAGCAATTGGTAAAATAGAATTATTACGGTCAAAGGGGGGTAAAATTTATGATAGGGATGATATTAATAATGCAGGTATTTTACACTTTGCTTGTGCAGACGGCAAATTAGACACCGTTCAGTATTTAGTAAATTTAGGACTGGATATCACCACTAAAGATAAATTAGGCCACGCCCCTATTTCTTTGAGTTTTGGCTCTGATGTACAATCTCGTGAAAAAGTTGAATATTTAATCTCCAAGGGTGCCAAACTTTCACGGTGGGAATCGATTTATTTTAAGGCGCGTTATCGTCATAACGCAATTCCATGGCGCACATGATTTTATGTATTGCCACTGACAACGGTCTTGGGAAGTTGCTGACACAAACTCCATCACATTAAGTCTATCTTAGGATACTGGCCGTGCTCCTGTAAGTCAAACTCCAAGCTCCAAGATGTTTTGTGTCGCTCTCACATACTTTTAAACTATTATTTCCAACCGAAATGTTAGCACTGTTAAGTTCCTTTGACAGTGAAGCATATTTTGACCTAAGTTAAAATGCTACCATTGCCCTTCATTACAGAAGTTATTTAACCAACCGAATCCATACTGTAAAGATAAAAATCGTGTACTCGTTTTTTCTGGACCACCCGAAAATTAAGTACTGTAAAAACTTGTTTTTAATATATATTTACTGTGATATATTTTTTTTATTAATGTTTGTATAATATAATGTATCCACTATTTGACTGTTCGTATAATTTACCCACCATTGATTGTTTGTATAAGTTACCCATTATTTCATTGCTTGTATAATTTGCCCACCACTAGATTGCTTGTATAATATATCTACCATTTAATTGTTTGTATAATTTAATCATTATTTCATTGATTGTATAATTTGCCCACCGTTTGATTGTTTGTATAATCTATCTACCAGTTGATTGTTTGAATAATGTACCCATTATTTCATTGTTTGTATAATCTATCTACCATTTGATTGTTTGTATAATCTATCTACCATTTGATTGTTTGTATAATTTACCCATCATTTCATTGCTTGTATAATTTACCCATGATTTCATTGTTTGTATAATCTACCCATCATTTCATTGTTTGTATAATCTATCATTGCTTGTATAATTTACCCATCATTTCATTGCTTGTATAATATACCCATCATTTCATTGTTTGTATAATTTATCTACCATTTCAATGCTTGTATAATTTACCCATCATTTGTATAATCTATATAGCATTTGATTGCTTGTATAATTTACCCATTATTTCATTGCTTGTATAATTTACCCATCATTTGATTGTATAATCTATCTACCATTTGATTGTTTGTATAATTTCATTGCTTGTATAATTGACCCACCATTTTATTGTTTATAAAATCTATCTACCATTTGATTGTTTGTATAATTTATCCATTATTTCATTGCTTGTATAATTTACCCATCATTTCATTGTTTGTATAATCTATCTACCATTTCATTGCTTGTATAATTTACCGACCATTTGATTGTTTGTATAATCTATCTACCATTGGATTGTTTGTATAATTTACCCATCATTTCATTGTTTGTATAATTAACCCACCATTTGATTGTTTGTATAATCTATCTACCATTTGATTGTTTGTATAATCGATCTACACTTTGGTTGTTTGTACAATCTACCCATTATTTCATTGCTTGTATAATTTACCCACCATTTGATTGTTTGTATAATCTATCTACCATTTGTTTGTTTGTATAATTTACCCATTATTTCATTGGTTGTATAATTTACCCACCATTTGGTTGGTTGTATAATTTAATCATTATTTCATTGCTTGTATAATTTAATCATTATTTCATTGCTTGTATAATTTATCCACCATTTGATTGTTTGTATACTATATCTACTATTTGATTGTTTGTATAATTTACCCATTATTTCATTGCTTGTATAATTTACCCACCATTTGATTGTTTGTAATGTCAATCTACCATTTGATTGTTTGTATAATGTACCCATTATTTCATTGGTTGTATAATTTGCCCACCATTTGATTGTTTGTATAATCTATCTACCATTTAATTGTTTGTATAATTTACCTATTATTTCATTGCTTGTGTTATTTACCCATCATTTTATTATATAACATATCTACCATTTCATTGTTTGTATAATTTACATATTATTTCATTGCTTGTATAATTTACCCACATTTGATTGTATAATTTACCCATCATTTCATTGTTTGTATAATCTATCGACTAATCTAAAATATTATTTAAATGTGGTTATTCATACTGCAATAAAAATAGTGTTATTATATTCATTTTTGTGCTTTTGTTGACTGGGTGCCTGGGTGCATTTTATGTATGTTTGTTAGTATATCTAAGGGAGAACGCATTAATACGCTTTTAACCAAGTTAAATGGTAGATTACGTTGAAACTTGAAATGTATGCTCCTTCCCAATTGGCGAATCTCAAAATTTGACCAGTCAAGGTCATATGATATTTCGAACAAAACCATGGCCAAGTGTTGCTCCGTCTGTGCTGGAACGCGTTTAGCCCAATTAAAATATGAGAAAATGTTGGAGTCTGAGTTTGATGGTCAGTGAGTGAACCTTGCAATCTTAAACGCTGTACATTTAAAATTATAAACATACTGAAACATACTGACGTGTTTAATACTTAAATCGTTTCACCTCAACAGGAAATGAATCAAAGTTTGAATCAGATTAATCTTCAGTATCCAATGGCAACACTATCAGCACGTGGATCACACCCACCCCACCATGTATCCGTTGGCGATGAACCATGGCGCCACCAGCTTCCTTTGGTAATTACCTGACCTCGACCAAACATTGACCTCTCGTAACCTTTGACCGGACCTGTGACTTTGTGACCCATAGACTTCAGTTTATCAATGGTTCCCTCGGAGATGCCTTCTTCTACACCACAATCACCACTTAAACTGAAAGACGGGACTTACATTAGGTTGCAATATCATTTCGATTAATCTTTCCCATTTTCAAACTGAACTGTAATCAAAAATCAGCGCGTGTAAAGCATGTGCGTTAGTCAGTAACCTAATACCACATATAATAAAATTTAAAGTGTACACGCGGTATGTTACGTTATATGCTTTCCTTCTTTCAATTGATATCAATCCTCAGTATCCCCAGTGTTTCATTCCGTTCTACTCCAATAGCCCCTGGGTTAATCTAGGGGGGCGGGGAGGCACGTTTTCAAGTTCACCGCCCTTGATAATTGTGCTATTTTTATCGACCAATCCCATCATTTGTTAATTGCAAAGGATTTGGCAAAGGGAAGTAACTCTCATCGGATAAGGTTAGGAGTTAGCCTAAATAAGAGAAGTCCAAATTATGTTAAATGCATATTCATTAATAACAAACAGACAAAGAACGAATAGTAATAAGAATAATAAAAGTCAAACATATAGATGTTATACATATTAGAAATCAGCGAAACATACTACAGATTTTGATAATACAATTAAATATAAACGAATTAGAAATATATACGTACATTATTTACATAAATCATTCTGTAAATGGGCATAAAGGCGAAACGACAGGTCTTTGATTGGTTCGTAGACCATAGCTGCAATCAAGGCCAGGGCAGATAATTTGAAATCGTGGAAACCCTATGGATTAACCCAGGGTATAGTGGAGTTGAACGGAATGAGTACACTGGGGCATGTTCCTGAAGCAACGACTGCGAGTTTTACATCTGGCCGTTGCTAGATTACTTCACAATTCCCAAACTTATAGCTACATTATCTACAGACACGTGAACAGTAGCGTCCAATCAGCGGTTGTGTCATAGCGACCTCCACGGAAACCTTGACATTGAATGAACCTTGAACTTTACAACTCGATTATCACATGTAGACATTTTACCTTAAAAGCGCGAGACTTGGTATTCGCGATGATCGAGGACTTTGATAGGCTCACAAGCTGGGCTTGTACCCAATCGAAATTAGTGCCGAAATATGTAGGGTATTACGTGAAGGCCTTGACAAGATGTACGGAGTTAAAACGAGATCAAGCCTTCTATTGAAGATGACACTGGGGATACCGAGGATGTTATCTTATCACGTGACGTTTAGTCACATGGTGTTCACTTACCCATAACCGCCTCCTAAACAGATTCTTGGAGAATCTAAAGCTTGTTGTGGGTTCATGTGAAACTCCACCATATTTAACAAAACTTGAACATGTCCCTGTGGTTGCATGAAACCACCCATAACTCCATAACTACACAATAATTCACCTATAGAAAACAAAAAGAAACACGAAATGAAGTGAAATAAAATGGGGTTTAACATCCTACTGTTCTGCTCCTAAACTGGGCTAACGAAGACGGGCATACGCCATACAGTGTGCTATGAGGGGAATTTTGCCCAGGCAGCGGCGCTACTGCCTACTCTTATAACAAATTCCAACTGCCAAGGGATCTTTTACGTGCACGCCTATGTGTACACAGGACCTCGGTTTTTCGTCCCATCCGAAGGACTAGACAGCTGTCCTTGTCAGGCCCTCCGCCCTGCATCACTGACAAGGGGAAACCACGCCGGAAAAAAAAACAAGCACAATAATGATGCACGTTGTCCACAGATTCATTGTTTACGCACACACGTACACCATCGTGATTTCAAAAGCATCGCTGGTTGTCTAAAAACAGTGTGTTGCTCTACCAATCGAAAAACTAAATAAATAAAATATATAATACAATCGATCTTGTCAAAGCATCCAATGCAAAGTGACAACGGACAATATGTGTGGTAAAATAACTAGAGTCTCCATGACAACGTAGTATCCATGACAACGCAGTATTTCCTTCTGTGTTTTTAATTAGCCCAATTTTGGTTAATGTAAATGATAATTATATTTGCTATAAAGTAGTTTTGAGAAATGACAAGATTCTAATTGCGGGGTCGGTGTATGTATTATTAAAACATAACAGAAAGTGTTTCGAACCTGTATCGACTGAGGTAACCATGGCTGGTATTATAGTATGGTATGGTCGTTTACCGGGTTCTAATCTGTTGGGATGATCTGGGTCTAAACTGAATCCATAACCTCGATTCTATATGATGCAAACATAAAAACAACTAATGTATACTGTGTAACGTTGGGTTCGGTTGCAAAACGAAATGAAATGAAATGAAATGGGGTTTAACGTCCTACTGTTCTGCTCCTATACTGGGCTAATGAAGAGGGCATACGCCATACAGTGTGCTATGAGGGAGGGAAATGTTGCCCGGGCAGCGGCGCTATGGCCTACTCTTATATCGAATTCCAACTGCCAAGGGATCTTTTACGTGCACGCCAATGTGTACACGGGACCTCGGTTTTTCGTCCCATCCGAACAACTAGACAGCTGTCCTTGTCAGGCCCTCCGTCCTGCATCAATGACAAGGAGAAACCACATCGGAAAATCTGGATGGCGATTTAAAATCTGTTTTCAATTATTTTCAGGAAACATTGATTATTTAACATTTAATTAAAAAAACAACGTCAAAACATCAACAGAGGGTAATATTCCAAGAGAGGGATGGGGTTTAACGACCACTCGACAAAAACTAGGTCATTTCGGGACTAACATATGGTTCAATTTTATTTTAATAATTTACTTGCGCGTAGGGGTCTTTAGCAGTGTCAGGAAACCGGCGGAACGGGAGAAGACCCATGAGGTTCGACAGGCAACCCTACTCCTTGCCAAGCACAAGCAGGGAATCGAAACCACGCCACTTGACTCAATAACAGGCCTTAAGGGGGGCGCTTATGTAGACCTTGCAACTGGGAGCAACTGAAAAAAGTCGACCTGGGCGCCTCTCACAACTCAAAGCAACTAGTTGCAGTCAGTTGCACATGTTCAACTTTCTGCAACTGGCTGCAACTAGCGGCAACTAGTTGTCGTCGACATTATCGTTCTTGCAACTGGAGTCAACTCGTTTCCATGGAAATAACATCACGTGATAAGAGACATATGTCATGTGACTTTATAAATAAGCAAATGGAAGCGAACGAAGACACCAACTTTTCAAGTTTTGATGATGTCGACAATAATATGCTAATAGAATTGTAGCAAGACCGACCATGCCTTTGGGTTGCTTCTTCTAAGTGATTCGCCATTCTGTTGAGCATGTGATGAATAAATTATCAGTTCCGAGTCGACAGAAGCGCTCGGAATTCGATTGCTCCCAGTTGTCCTCAGTTGCTAATATGATCGACATAAGCACTCTTGCAACTGACTGCAACTGGTTGCTTTGGGTTGCAAAGTCGACATAAGCCCCGCTGTATGATGCAACGCGCATCGACCACTCCCCCCTCCCCTTTCAGGGAGGAACTAACAATCCCTTTAATAAAGATCAGAGCTTTTAATCAAAATAATGTAGGCTACAGATTCAGAAACAACGTCGTCTTTACCAATATAGGTAAGCAATAGATTTAACATATATTACCAACGTACCTGTAAGGTAAAGCCACATCCCTCAGGTACAAGGCCGGTACCGAATCCCATAAAATTAGAATTTATAAATGAGCAGGCGTTCCCGTGTTCATCGGCAACAGTAAAATATACAGTGTCACTTCCTATAAATGGAGAACCTTTCTTTATATCAGATGATGCTCTGTAAGAAAAGGAGATAGATAGAGAAATGGGGTTTAACGTCCACACGACACAAACTAAGTCATTTCGGTACTAACATATGGTTCAATTTTATTTCAAATAATTCGCTTGCGCCCAGAGGTCTTTAGCAGTAGGAGGAAACCGGAGAACCGGGAGAAAACCCACAAGGTTGGACAGGCGACCCTATTCCTTGTCACGTACAACCGAGGAATCGAAACCACGCCAGCTGACTCAATGACACGCCTTATCATACAGCACGCCCGTGCTAACCATTCGGTCATCCAACCCCCCTTGTAAGAAAATGGACAATGGAATGAAATGTGGGGTTTACAACCTACTGTTATTTTGAATTCCCGCTGTCGGCATATTCCTGAAGCAGTGACCCGAGAAATCCCCCTCTGGCCATTGCTGGATTGGCTTATGATCCTTGAGGGAGTGTGTCTATTCTTCCCGCTCAATCAAATCTATCCCAAGTATAGCAACATGACAGCCGTTCGATTAATCTGGGGTCTTCTCTAAACTTTGGACAGTGATTTAAGGTATTAAAAACGGTGAAAGTATTGTTCGTCTCCAAACAGTATTGTGTACATTGTATTCGTTTTGATAGCCTCGTTTGTCACTATTAGTTTTTCTGATATATTCTGCTATGCACTGGTTAATTGGGCATAATAAAATCGTGAGTCATGACGTAACGTTATGTAAACATATTTAGTACAATTTGGAGATCTGTTTAAAGCATAATGATATTGTTACGGAGTTGGTTGTTAATCGGACTATTGACCCGTTATAATTTGGAACAGAAATTTGCTTCCTTTACAGCACTGTTAAATGGGATGAGGTATATCAAACGGAACACTGCGAGGAGTATGAGCTGTCAGGGGTGCTTATATTTACGTGAACGCCAATGTTTACATGGGACATCGGTTTATTTGTACAATCCGGAGACTATAGCTGCGGGAAGTGGCATCAGGTGTTAGATGCTACAAAACTCACTTCTCAGAATACAAACTCACTCGAAAATACAAACTGCTCGTCCTTCCAAACAGAGACAAGAAATAGGCTCTCCGGCTAAAGGCCTACCTATATTAATCTCTCTCTCTCTCTCTCTCTCTCTCTCTCTCTCTCTACTAAATGTAAACAATGGACTACCTTTCTGTGTGAATGAGATTTCTTCTAGTTGCTGCATATTCTTTAGACAGAAGTTCTTTCATTGGCACTGCTGTTACGCTGGGATCAGCGCAATACCACTGGGCATCCGCGAAACTTAGCCTTAAAGCCTCGATTAACAGGTGCAGGTATTCAGCAGAATTGTGACCTTTATCTTAAATCACAAAACAAAATTGATTAAATCTATTTAAAACAATATATACAGCTTCAATTCCGAATAACTGTACAAACAAATAAATGAAATTAAATGAAATGAAATGGAATGGGGTTTAACGTCCTACTGCTCTGCCCGAACAGCGGCACTATGGCCTACTCTTATATCGAATCCCAACTGTCAAGGGATCTTTTACGTGCATGCCAATGTGTACACGGGACCTCGGTTTTTCGTCCTATCCGAACGACTAGCATAGGCATACGGGCTCGATGACAGTTAGGGGGGCAGACCCCTAAATGCCCGAAAAAAATTAGGGTTTGCTTTGCAGACAGCGACGCCGGTCTTCCTCAAGAGGCGAAGAAGCGGAGCTTACCTTGTATGACCCCCCCCCCCCCCCAAGAAAATTTTGAAATGTTTGACGGCTGCAAACACGTTTTCCTGTTATTTCAGCCAGTGAACAAAGCAACTTCAAAGTGGTCTAATATAGCCTAATTAAGATGGCTGACTCGAATTCCAATCAAAAGAGCAATCGTTTACAGTCCACAGCCTGCGTATACTGCGACTTCAATTTGGTCCAAATGTAACCACCGCAAATGCGTTTTCTGCTATTCTAGCCCGTATAAGCAACTCCAAAAGTATCCAATGGTTTTGTAACCGAAATCCCACTCTGAATTCCAACCATCCAACCAGAATGTTGCAGCTGAATTCACAAATAATAATCGATGCCCGAAAAATGTCGCACAAAGTAGAGTGGCTCCAGACCTGTCAGTGGGATAAACAGGACTTGCCTGTCTTATACCACTGACAGGTGTAAACCGTATCATCGTATTTCACATTCTGAACATCAGAGACAGCTAGCTACCATTTGATTTGCGTACGTTAGTTACGTACTATTATTCCATCGTTACATAGTTAGTGCTAAATGATAAGGCCAGTTCAATTTTTCGCCATTGGTCTCGAGATGTAAACAGGGTTAGCGCTTATCCCAACCCTAACCCTAACCCTGGACCTAGTCCCAATGCTTACCCAAACCCTAAACTACAATCTCGCCAACAATCTCGTGCCCTAACCTTATTTACATCTCAGCGACCTTGACAAAAATTGAGCTGAACTTAACAATTAGATTTACCCGTCGTGTTACATTGAGACAGATTTGGATCATTCAAAGTTTACCGAAAAAGGATACTTACTTTTTAAATCACACTTTTCGAGTATGTTGAGCGCCATCAGAGCCACAATGCCCTGTCCATTTGGTGGAATTTCCCAAACACGATAACCTTTATAATCAACGCTGATTGCCTGATCGTAAGTGGTCTTGTGTGACGCAAGGTCTTCAAGGGACATAACTCCTCCATGATTAGTTATGACGTCAACTACGGCCTGGGCTATTCTTCCTTTGTAAAAACCATCTTTCCCATTGTTAGCTAATACCTACCAAAATAATACATTAACTGAAATCTGAGATCTCGATTTACTCCAAAACTACAACACATAGCCTACCACAACATTTGCTATCATCTCCAGATATACACATAAATAAAAAAGCTATCTATTAGTTATTAAGCGACGGTGAACAATCGGGTGATCAAAAAATTTTCATTTTTAGGTTGTGAAAATGTATTTCAGAAATTCAGAATATATTTTAAAGATCGGTTCCCAGAAAAGTATTTATCGGGTGGTTATTGCCAATAAAAGTATGGCAATTTTAGTATATATGGAAAGTATAAATATCCAATCTTACTAGCAAAATACTGGATTCCCTGAAAAACACTCATGGAGTATACAGGACAAAATGTAAGGGTTCCCCTAATCGACAGCCGGACGATTAGGAATACCTGCACGCGTGACGTCGAAGGTTGCACGCGAAGATTGAGCGTTTGGTGTAAATGTTGATATACTTTATGAAGAGTTAGACGTTCAACACTTTCTGAGATAAAAATCACGGAAAAAGGCGCGGGCAGTGGATAATCGGGGAATTTAATTAGGATTCGATATTTGTAATAAATAGTCAGCGATTAGAGACAGCATCGTCTTGCGTATGGAATGAATTCTCCTACGACCTCGCACCCGTAAGTCACGTGACACAAGCATGACCGCTTTTGATCGATTTTTTTATAGCAAGAGTATTCCTTGACAATGACAATGTTTTGAGAAGGATTTGAAGCAAATTTATGATAACTTAATTAGTATGAATATGTTTTTAGGCCAAATATACCATCAAATCACCCAGTTTGTACGCGGGAATGTAATCTTTAAGTGTGGATTCCGATGAGTTATTTGCCCCTGAGTTTGATTATCTCCCTTATAATACACTTTAGGCATCAGTATCGGTATCAATAACAAGCCTGAAAAAGGGGCAACTGTCACAGACATTGTCAGACATAACCTTGACTCTGCCATTTTGTGCCGCACTGATTTGTACGTTACCTATGTTTATTTGCTCACTCGGAACAGAACAGTAGGACGTTGAACCCATTTCAGTTCATTTGCAATTGAGGGGGGGGGGCCGAATGATTAGCACGTGCGCGCTGTATCATAAGGCCTGTCATTGAGTCAACTGGCCTAAATTCGAATCCCCGGTTGTACGTGACAAGGAGTAGGGTCGCCTGTCCCACCTCGTGGGTTTTCTATGGGTATTCCAGTTCCCTCCCACTGTTAAAGTCCCCTACGCGCAAGCGACTTATCGAAATAACATTAAACCATATGTTAGTCCCGAAATGACCTAGTTTGTGTCGAGTGGGCGTTAAACCCCATTCTCCTCTCTCTCTCTCTCTCTCATTTGCAAATAGTGACATATTAAAACTTACTCTGAATGTATTGGCTAGTTTGGGCATTTTAATGACGTCACCTTGTGCAGGTGGTTCACCATTTAATAACATATCTTTGCCGTGTATATTCTTCGGATCCTTCAATAAATGACAACCTATAAAGAAAATACGCAAATACCAGGTATTGCTCTGTATTTACAGTTAAACTTCGATATGCCGTCCTACTGCCAGTCGGCAGTTAACCTAAATAACTCTTATATACCCCGGGAATGCCAAGATGTGTTGGGTTTTTTTTCTATTTTTCGTTGCTTATGTGCTATTACCTTTGGCCAAATGGTCAAACTTCATGAAAATGTACAAAACATCAGTCCATTAGCAATATATATTTACGGATATCGCGTACAATGCGAGGTATGCTATTTTTCTAGACGAGAGAGAGAGAAATGGGGTTTAACGTCCACTCGACACAAACTTGGTCATTTCGGGACTAAAACATGGTTAAACTTAATGAAAATGTAGAAAATATCAGTCCATTAGCAATATATATTTACGGATATCGCGTGCAATGCGAGGTATGCTATTTTTCTAGAAGAGAGAGAGAGAGAGAGAGAGAGATGGGGTTTAACGTCCACTCGACACAAACTAGGTCATTTCGGGACTAAAACATGGTTTAATTTTATTTCTATAATTTGCTTCCGCGTAGGGGTCTTTAGCAGTGGGAGGAAACCAGAGGACCCGGAGAAAACCCACGAGTTCGAAATCACTCCAGTTGACTCATTGACAGACCTTATTATACAGCACACGCACGTGCTAATCATTCGGCCATCCAACCCCCCATTTTTCTAGAAAGGACACCTGATAACACTTATGACTAAAGAAACTCACATAGATAACAGGTATGTGTTATATTTGGTATACAAACCTTGGTTCCAGAAATGTGCCGTCGTCTGTTGAATCGGTGCTCCATTTTCTGCGAGATCAATGGCGGGTTGTAAAATCTCCTTTAACGTCAACTAAAAATAAAGAAGAACTCGGTTTATCGTCCTATCCGAACGACTTGACGATGTTCCTTGAAAGCCTCTCTGTCCTACATCGCTGAGTTTTACTATTGAGCCACGCGGCTCCTATCTCTTGACACGTGTCCCTTTCCGCTGGGTAAGGAAACCACGGTAGGGAGTCGGGGGGGGGGAGGAATTATTCAGGTTTCCCGAGGTTGGTGATGCCGTCGTTTGCGGAAATAAAAGTCGAGATCCCATGTCACTCGCATACCAATGTGTATGCGGGTGGACCTAAGTGTTTAGTTTTACCTGTAGGACAGGGGACACTCTCCTTGTCAGCCCAACAGGCAGTTAACCAGGATCAGACCCCATGGACGTGGACATTCTGAATCTTTGTGACAGAGCCCTGTCGCCTGACAACCGCGGCCCCCAAAATAAATAAGATATCAAGATAATGAAATCAAAACAGCGACTCACGTTTTTTTTTCTTTACACATCTTTGATCGTTTATAAAATAAAAATGGGCTTTTATTTATTAGAAGGAATTGCTACACGTTGGCCTACCTTTCCGCTGCCATGTTTGTCTATAGTGTCAACCCAGGCAGACGCCGCGCCTGGCACAGTCACAGTTAAACCATGTCTCATTGGTACAGGCGTGTCACGTGTAAACCCACGTGATTTGTATAATTCCAGATTAGCTGCCAACGGTGCTCTGCCACTGTTAACGAATAAAAAAACAACACATTGTTAGTCTCAAAATGGCCTTATATGCAGTGGATTCTTACATTGCTATTTGGGGTCTATTTATTATTTTTTTCATGTCTGCATTTTGTGATTTGGTGCTGATGTGCAATTTAACAGCATGCAATCCACTCATTTAGTCCATTCATTTTAATCCATTCATTTAATCAATTCATTTAATCCATTCATTTAATCCGTTTATTTTAATCCATTCGTGTAATCCATTCGTGTAATCTATTCATGTAGTCGATTCATTTAATCCATTCATGTAATCGATTCATTTAATCCATTCATATAATCCATTCATTTAATCCATTCATATAACCCATTCATGTAAGCTATGCATTAAATCCATTCAAATAATCCATTTATTTAATCCGTTCATGTAATCCATTCATGCAATCCATTCATTTAATCCATCCATTTAATCCATTCACATAACCCCTTCATTTAATCCATTCATTTAATCCATTCATGTAATCCATTCATTTTAATCCATTCATAAAGTCCGTTCATGTAATCCATTCATTTAATCCATTCATGTAATCCATTCAATTTATTCATTCATTTAATCCAGTCATTTATTCCAATTTCTTAACATGTGTTTACCTTCCATTGACACCATGGACAGATTTAGTTTTACCATCGTAGAATAAACAAAAGGCGTCTCCACCGATACCAGTTGAACAGGGTTCGGTTATATTTAAAGCTGCGGCTACGGCTACAGCTGCGTCAGCGGCATTACCACCAGCTTTTAGAATATCTGAAACAAAAGTCGATTAAAGATACATTATGTAAGATTTAGATAAAGAGCTAGCCATTCTTGGTATACTAATTCGAACATAGATACTGTAACATGAATAATTTGAAAATTTAATTCAAATTAATCTATTGCGAGTGATGATATTAGCCTTTGAAGGTTTTACAAGACGTGTGCAATAATTTCAACTACCGTACTGTACTCGAAGCTAAGGGTCCATTTTTAGCTTAAATCAAAATATGGCTGAACTGTTCTAATCAATTTAATATTGGAGAAATCCGATGCCATCGAGAGTTGATTATGGCCTGGGTCAGTTAATTAATGCCTAATTAATAATTTAGAAAACATTTCAGGCCTAAAGAAAGGCCTGCAACAGGCAGATTTAGCTCTTGCATAATGTATGATTAACATTATCACAATTATATTAAGAGAAATATAACGATGGCTGTAAAGTTGTAAGTATAATTATAATTTTATCAACACTTTGATCTGCGTCTGGAGGTCGGGTGTTCGATCCCTGCATTGGCCGAGAAAGTTCATCCAGATTTTCCGGCGTGGTTCCCCCTTGTCAGTGATGCAGGACGGATGGTCTGACAAGGACAGCTATCTAGTCCTTCGGATGAGACTAAAAATCGAGGTCCCGTGTATACATTGGAATGCACGTAAAAGATCCCTTGGCAGTTGGAATTCGATATAAGAGTAGGCGATAGTGCCGCTGCCCGGGCAAAATATCCCTCATAGCATACTGTATGGCATGCCCGTCTTCATTAGCCCAGCATAGAAACAGAACAGTAGGATGTTAAACCCCATTTCATTTCATTTAATTTGATCTGCGTGCACGCCACCCTGTTCATGGAATCTCGGTTTGTTTGGTTATCCGTACGACTAGAGACTTTCCCTTGCCTTGCCAAGGGGTCGAACCCGGGACGAACTAGTTATGGAAATATAATGAAAATGAAATGAAATTGGGTTCAACGTCCTACTGTTCTGCTCCTAAATTGGGCTAATGAAGACGGGCATACGCTATACTTTGTTCTATGAGGAACTATGGCCTGCTCTTATATCGACTTCCAACTGCCAAGGGATCTTTTACGTGCATTCCAATGTATACACGGGACCTCGGTTTTCCGTACCATCCAAACAACTAGACAGCTGTCCTTGTCGGGCCCTCCGTCCTACACTACTGACAAGGCGAAACCACGTCGGAAAACGTAGTTAATCAATCAGCGCCTTACTGAGTCAAGGTGTTTCAGGGGAGTGGGGTAGAGAGAGAGGGAGAAATGGGGTTTAACGTCCACTCGACACAAACTAGTTCATTTCGGGACTAACATATGGTTCAATTTTATTTCAATAATTCGCTTGCGCGTAGGGGTCTTTAGCAGTGGGAGGAAACCGGAGAACCCGGAGAAAACCCACGAGGTTGGACAGGCGACCCTACTCCTTGTCACGTACAACCGGGGATTCGAAACCACGCCAGTCAACTCAATGACAGACTTTATGATACAGCGCGCGCACGCTAACCATTCAGCCATCCAACCCCCCGGAGTGGGGTAGGGTGCACCCAGAGTGAGCGAGAGACACGTGGTAAAACAGTATTAAAAACTAGTGTTCACTCACTGCCAGCACCCCTACCACCTTCTCCTTTTACAGTGATCCTTCCATCCCCGCCCATTTTTAAACAATAGTTTCGTAATGGGTGCTCGTGCTCCCCTTATTATTTTAGATAAGAATAATAAAACTGACCTAATTTTCCCCGACCTAAATGGTGCATATTTTAGATAAGAGTAATAAAGCTGACCTACTTTATGGAGCAAGTTATAAAGGCATTGATGTGTGTGTGGAGCAGGTTATGACGTATAGATGAGGTTATAGAGCTATGGCGGATAGAGGAGGTTATAGATCTATGACGTATAGAGGAGGTTATAGAGCTATGACATATAGAGGAGGTTCTAAGCTATGACGTATAGAGCAGATTATAAAGCTATGACGTATAGAGCAGGTTATAAAGCATGACGTATAGAGCAGGTTATGACGTATAGAGCAGGTTATAAAGCTATGACGTATAGAGGAGGTTATAGAGCTATGACATATAGAGGAGGTTATAGAGCTATGACGTATAGAGCAGGTTATAAAGCATGACGTATAGAGTAGGTTATAAATATGACGTATAGAGCAGGTTATAAAGCCATGACGTATATAGCAGGTTATATAGGTAAGGCGTAGGCTATACAGCAGGTTAAAAAGCTATGGCCTATAGATCTTACCGATACCGATCTGTGTTGCTAGAGGTTGACTGGTTGATACTAGGCCATGTATTGAGATGACTGGTGATCGACGTGACGTAAACCTATACTCATCTTCAATAATAGCAGCCATTGTTTATGTATTCCTCTATTTCTCTCAACCCCGTCTTCAGTTACAAGACCTATAAGATAACGATCATAGTGTCACGTGACTATAATTGAAGACGATTTGTTACAATTAGGAGTTGACAACACTCTATATCACCCATTTAAGTGAAAGAGTCGTTTAAAATTTATACTTTTTTGTAATACTTCTAGGATGACAACAAGGTTTGGGAGGGGGTGGGGTGTGTCAGCGGTGTGACCTTTGCGAGGACAGAAATAGTAAAGGGGCAGGACTGGGTACATGAGTTGGGTTAAGAGCGGGGACAGGAATGCAGAAAATGCGGGGTTAGCAATGGCGGCAAGAGAGAGAGAGAGAGAGAGAGAGCGAGTGAGTGAGAGAGAGAGAGAGAGAGAGAGAGAGAGAGTAGGCCATTTCGGGACTAACATATTGTAACCCCATAGATTGCATGCGCCTTTATGAATGTAAGCCCGTCCGACTATAAAGAAACCCGTTACGATATTATTGAACAAGGGCGCCTCCACATCAAGTCCCCATTTATCCAAATTAAACCTAAAAATAACTAATACCAAAATATCAGACATTTCATTTAGTGATAGATAAGTATATACCTGTAGATGGACACAAAATCTATTTTTAGTCTTTCTCTCCCTTTTGGGTAGAATCGAAGAAAAGGGTTTGAAAATATATTTTCTGTCAGGTTTTGGTGAATATTCATCATTTTGAGGCGGAAGGATAAAAGAGTTGAGAGGTTGGTAAGGTTGAAATGTAGGGCCGAAAATTGCATGTTTATTTATCTCTACTTCCAGCTTGTTTATTTCAAGTTTTTCATAAAGAACCTCATACGTGCTTTTGGGCAAGAGTTTGCCACATGTTGCTCCATCTGTGGTAGAAAGCGTTCTACCCAACGAAAATTTTGGGAAAAGTTAGAGCCAGTCTAAGAGACGAGAATTAACATTAAAGTCAATGGGGAAATCATTAGTGAGCTGTGACCAGATGAAATGGTTTGTGTTTATCGTTAAAGGGAAATAACTCTATTTCACAATTTCTGTATTTCCGGAAGCGATGGGATTGGCAATGTCGACACAAACAAAAACTTTTTAGGTGACAAAAACAATTATTGCGTATTGGATGGTAACATAAAATATTGTACAATGACCTTGTCAAATCTTTAATACCACAGTTCATCTTTTTACTTGTGAAGTTTAATTAGCAGAAATGAGTGCCGTAGAGCTGAAGAATCAGGGAAACAAGTTATTTGCTGCCAGGAAATATGACAATGCCATTTCTTGTTACACGAAAGCAATAGTAAGTAAAAGCTGTAGTTTAAGCCGATCACGAGGTGTATTACTGGAAAGAAAGGATAAAGACCTTACCAAGAAAAATAAACAAATCTCCAGTATCGGCTTCATCTATAATTCATTCATCTAGACAGTTGGACACAAACTGCTGGATACACGATACAGATTTTAATGGGGTTTTTTTTTTTTTTTTTTTTTTTTTTTTTTTGCTACTTCCGCATCCGGTAGAATGATATTCTATTCTACTAAAAAAAAAAACAATTAAAAATTTGAGGGGGGTGGGGTCTCTAAATGAAACAAAGTTTCTTACTTAGTAAAATCAAAAGCCTGAAAGGCTGCACTGTGTCAAAGAAATAGGCTACTCAGATGAGATAGTCAGTGTACCTTATCTAAAATTTTCAACTTCAAATATTCGGGTGATATATTTAGCCAAATCTACCAAAATCCACCATTATTTCAACCCACATCACAATAATTGATATCGATATTTGATATCATAACATTCTTTATGCCAAATTGTCATTTTTTTTATATAAATCTAAAATCATAGCATGCCAATTGTGTGCTATAGAATGTGTAATAATGATACTAGAGATAATGTATTCATATGAACTAACTGTTTCATTAGAGATTGGCAACAAAAATTGAATTTTTCATTTTGTTTTTACATATTTGTTTTCAGACTGGCTCGCTAATCTGGAGGTAGCGGGTTTGCCCCATTTTGGTTTGAGAAAGATCATCTGGATTTCCAGTATGCAGTATGGTTTCCCAGGAAAAATTTCCCTCATAGCACAATGTATGGCTTATATCTGTCTTCATTGGATGGCTGAATGGTTAGCGCATGCGGCGTATATGTGTCCTCTGTTTTATTAACTTCAATATATATATTACAGTGAAGAGTTGACAGGGGCAGATAACTCCTGTCTCACATGACTTATATTACAATATTGATCATCCTGTAAAGGATCAATACGACATCCCCCTTTCTCCCAAAAAGAAGAAACTGGAGTATTACAACGCGTTGTATCATACGGTCTGTCATTAAGTCAACTGCCAGGTTTGATTCCCAGGTTGTACGTGACAAAGAGTAGGGTCGCCTGTCCAACCTTGTTTTTTTTTCTTCGGGTCCACCTGTTTCCATCCACTGCTAAAGACCTCTACACCCAAGCGAATTATTGAAATAAAATTGAACTTCTCTCTCTCTTTCTCTCTCTCTCTTCATTAGCCCAGTTGGAGCAGAACAGTAGGACATTAAACCCTGTTTCATTTTCATTTTTTTCAGGCTAAAAATCAAAATGTTGCAACATTTTTCACCAACCGAGCTTTATGTTATCTGAAGTTACGCCAGTGGGATTTTGCAGTGAAGGATTGTCAACAAGCTTTAGATTTAGATAGATTATTGGTCAAAGGTCATTTCTTCTTGGGTCAAGCGTTTGTGGAGCAGGGTTCATATGATGAGGCCATTGCTAGTCTACACAAAGGTGAGACATGTTTATTAGATTTGTGTGGGGGAGGGGGAGTGGGGTGGGGGGGAGGGCCAGTGGAGTGGCTAGGAAGCTTGAACACAATAAGGATTAGGGTCTCCCGTCCAACATCGTGATTTTTCCCTGGTCATTGATTCAACTGGCATGGTTTCGATTCCCCGGGTGTATGTAACAAGGAGTAGGGTAGCCTGTCCAACATCGTGGGTTTTCTCAAGGTCCTCCAGATTCCTCCCACTGCTAAAGATCCCTGCGCGCAAGCAAATTATTGAAATGAAATTGAATCATGTGTTAGTCCCGAAATGACCTAGTTTGTGTCGAGTGGACTTAAACCCCATCTCTCTCCCTCTCTCTCTCTCTCTCTCTCTAGATCCTTGTACCATATCAATTACTTAAACTTTTAAAAGTCAAATTGTACCATGTTAGATCCAATCTGATTAAAATACAGATCTACATTTCTTTTCATTGTTTTATACTTTCGGGCCGAATGGTTAGCACGTGCGTGCTGTATCATACAGCCTGTCATTGAGTCAACTGGCGTCGTTTCGAATCCCCGGTTGTACGTGACCAGGAGTAGGGTCGCCTGTCCAACCTCGTTGGTTTTCTCCAGGTCCGCAAGCGAATTATTGAAATAAAATTAAACCATATGTTAGTCCCGAAATGACCTAGTTTGTGTCGAGCGGACGTTAAACCCCATTTCTCTCTCTCTCTTTTATACTTTCGATTGCCTACACGTCTTTGAAAGTCTGACCAGTTGTAGTGGGAGGTCGCTTCAGGGATCATACAAGCGGCTTTTGACCCTATGATGTCAGACATTTGATTAACAAATCAGCGTTGATGTTTCTAGTGGGATACCTGCAGTTCCGTGAACCACACGCCAAGAACTCGCCATAACAGACCGGTTCATTGTGGGTTATATACATGTACTAACTCTTCCAGATCCTAGTGAAACGAAATTTTGAATTATAAAAAACAAAACGAAATAGGATCTGTGTTTTAATCAGACTGTGTTAGAGCTTAAGTTCTGTGATTGACTTAAGTGTTTGTTTGGATCCATTTTCCGACGTTTCCCCTTGTCAGTGGTGCGGGACAGCTGTCTAGTCATTCGGATGAGACAAAATTTGGAATTTGATATAAGAGTATGCCATAGTGCCGCTGCCCGGGCAAAATACCCCTCATAGCACACTGTATGGTGTATGCCCGTCTTCATTAGCTCAATCGGATCAGAACAGTATCACGTTATACCCCATTTCATTTGTTTGGATCCCGAGCTTTTAGAGTCATGTCCATCCTCGTGGGTTTTCATCAGGTCCCCCTTGAGGTTGCAGTCAAATCCATGGTTCAGATTCCAAGCTTGTACTAAATATGAATGGGGTCGACTATCGGGTTAATCTCATCGATATGTTCTGGTTATATTATTATGTTTTTTTTTCTAAAATAAACGTTGTTATGCTGGAGAAAAATGTTGTTAAACTGGAAAGAAATGAGGTTTAATCAATCTGACAACAACTGTACATATTAAAGATCCCTTGACAGTTGAAATTTACATGTAGTAATGCGTTGTTTGAATGGTCCCTCGACAGTTGAAATTTAGTAATGTGTTGGTTGAAAGATCCCTTGACAGTTGAAATTTAGTAATGGGTTGGTTGAACGACCCCTTGACAGTTGAAATTTATTAATGGGTTGGTTGAAAGATGCCTAGACAGTTGCAATTTTGTAATGGGTTGGTTGAAAGATCCCTTGACAGTTAAAAGTTAGTATTGGGTTGGTTGAGTTAAGAGATCCCTAGACAGTTGAGATTTATTGATGGGTTGGTGATGCCAGGGTTAAAATTCTCCTCCTATGCATTACACATGCAAAAAAATACCAATATGTTAGTTTCAAATACATTTTCAGCCTTTGATCTGGCGAAAGAACAGAAGTTAAATTTTGGAGATGATATTACTGGGGCATTAAGATTAGCCAAAAAGAAACGATGGAACAGAATAGAAGAGAAAAGAATTCAACAGGAAATCACTCTACAGACATATCTTAATAAATTACTTAAAGACGACAAAGACAGGTAAGTTGGGTTGTTCAAGGAGTGGCATTTCGCCAGCAGAAACGTCAGATTAATACTAATTTAATGGGACCATTTCCATGTAAGCGAGAAAACTTCGTATGTCTTGCTCAACTGACAAGGGTAAACTGAGCTAGCAGGCCATATGTCCTGGTCCACTGGCTGGGTTTGGATTCCCCGGTTGTACGTGACAAGGAGTTGAGTTGCCTGTCCAACCTCGTGGGTTTTCTCTGGGTCCTCCGGTTTCCTCCCAATGCTAAAGATCCCTGCGCGCAAGCGAATTATTGAAATAAAATAGAACCAAATGTTAGTGCTAATCAAATTTCGATTATTATTTATTATTTCCAGGAAGGTGGCCACAGCCAAGAAGACGTCGAGTAAAGCAAATGTAAAAGAAATAACAGATAATATAGAAACAGATCATGTGAGTTACCTGGATAATCAAAAAACATGATTATTCTTGATTATCCAGTTTAATAGAGTTAATGTAGAGGTGTGTTACATGATGGAATTGATCACAGGGAAAGAATATATTCTAAATTTCAGTCAAATTACTTTATTCTGGCAATACTATATACCGGAAAACAACCGGAAAACACCATTTTATACTGAATACCGGAAAACACCGGAAAAACACTAAATACCGTAAAATACCCTAAATAGGTAACCCTGAGACTGGCACCCTACATAGGTAGCCGGGAGCCTAGTCCTCTGTGTGCCTGGGTTAGGGTTAGGGTTAGTTTCCAGTTTATAGTATAGCCCTTCTCCGGGTTACCTATTTATTGTGGTTTTCGGTATTTAGTGTGTTTTCCAGTATTTAGTGGTTTTCTGGTATTCAGTATAACATGGTGTTTTCCGGTAGTTTTCCATTTTTTTTCCGGTTGTTTTCCGGTATATAGTATAGCCCACTTTATTCTGAGCAAAGTTATAAGTGTTTGAAGTTTTGACAATATAGTTTCAATTTCCATATACCTTAATAATCAAAGTATTGATTATCCGTTTTATTGTTGAATTATTAAATGGCGATTGTATTCTTATCACAGCACAGTTGTACGTGACAAGGAGTAGGGTCGCCTTTTCAACCTCGTGGGTTTTCTCTACGTCCTCAGGTTTCCTCCCACTGCATGCAATTTGTATTGAACCATATGTTAGTCCCGAAATGATCTGGTTTGTGTCAATGGACGTTAAACCCCATTTCTCTCTCTCTCTAATCACAGCAATCCAATGGTCTAGCTACTTGGTTATGGGCTTGCCATGTGTCTAAATAATAATTTACATGACATTTGTAGCCCCTTTCAAAAGACCTGCAATAGACAGTTTTAACTCTTACATAATGCATCTTTATAAAAGTTGCCCTGAAATAAGAAGAGTTTTGTTTTTGGTGTTTTTCAGGATTTAAAATTAAAAGAGTTAAATCGATTATTTAGTGAAGTGGATGACAGAAGGAAGGTACAGTAGTTTACTAACTATACTCTTGATGAAATATTTCAATTGTATTCATATCTCAATCTGATTAAAACACAAGATCCTATTTCGTTTTGTTTTTTATAGTTCGAAATCTCGTTTTACTTGTCTTTACTACACTAGTATCTGGAAGAGTTGTTATATAACTCATGTCCTACTCCTTGTCACATTCCAGTGGGGATTCGAAACCACTCCGGTTTCGAATCCCCACTGGAATGTGACAAGGAGTAAGGTCAACTGTCCAACCTCATGGTTTTCTCTGGGTCGTCCGGATTTCTCCCACTACTAAAGACCCCTACGCACAAGCTTACAATTGAAGTAAAATTAAAACCATATGTTAGTCCCAAAATGACATAGTTTTTGTCAAGTGGAGGTTAAACTCCATATCTCTGGATCGGAAATGGAAATATCTCTCTCTATCTTGCGATCAAAAATACTAGTTCATAATCTGGTACGACTATCAATATTTCCAGGATGGTTTGTGTTATATAATAATTTTATTATATTAGGAGCCATGTTTTTCCTGTCCCCTCTTGTCAGTGGTGCAGGACAGAGGGCTTGTCAAGGGACAGCATATAGTTGTTCAGATGGGGCATGCAAGTAAAAGTTTTCACTGACTGTTGTAATTCGAGGCCGTGGTGCTGCTGTCTGGGCAAAATTCCTTGTCGTTTCCTTTCATTATATTTTATATTCTATTGTATTGTAGAGACGCGATGTGCCTGATGTGTTGTGTGGTAAAATAAGTTTTGAAGTTATGAGAGACCCAGTTATAACCCCCAGTGGTATTACCTATAATAAACAAGATATCATAGAACATTTACAGGTAACAATATATCAGTTATAACCTCACCTTTATAGAACATTTACAGGTAACAATATATCAATTATAACCTCCAGTGGTGTTACCTTTATAGAACATTTACAGGTAACAATATATCAGTTTTAAGCCCCAGTGGTATTACCTTTATAGAACATTTACAGGTAACAATATATCAGTTAAAAGCCCCAGTGGTATTACCTTTATAGAACATTTACAGGTAACCATATATCAGTTATAAGCCCCAGTGGTGTTACCTTTATAGAGCATTTACAGGTAACAATATATCAGTTATAAGTCCCAGTGGTATTACCTTTATAGAGCATTTACAGGTAACAATATATCAGTTATAGGCATACAATATGTTCTATACATATGGGGTGAGGGGGGGGGGGGGTGGATGGCCGAATGGTTAGCACATGCGCGCTGTATCATAAGGTCTGTCATTGAGTCAACTGGCATGGTTTTGATTCCCAGCTTGTATGTGACAAGGAGTAGGGTCGCCTGTCTAACTGCGTGGGTTTCTCTGGGTCCTCCGGTTTTCTCCCACTGCTAAAGAACCCCACATGCAAGTGAATTATTGAAATAAAATTGAGTCATATGTTAGTCCCAAAATGACCTAGTTTGTGTCAGTGGACCTTAAACTCTCTCTCTCTCTCGCTCCACCAAACCAGTTGGCACAGAATAATCAGATGTTTGAACATATTTAAATATATATCATTTATTACAGATTTAATTTACCTTTCTGGGGTTTTATTTCAGAGAGTTGGCCATTTTGATCCAGTGACTCGGAGTGTCCTGACACAAGAACAGCTCATACCTAATCTCGCCATGAAAGAAGTCATTGATAATTTCCTAGAAGAGAATGCATGGGCTGAAGACTATTAAATTTATTAAATATAAGACGATTCTCCTGTTTGACATTTTGAGTATCACCAATTTAATTTAAATCAAAAGCTCTCTGCTAGATCCTGTGAAATGTGTTTTTCCTGGAAGGAAGAATTCTGGATTGATGATATTTAAATTGGGTTTGATGGAAAAGGCCTCGCTAGACATTGAGTATTAGCTTTAAGTCCTGATGATTGTCATGCAAAAGGCAGGGCATTAGTTTCAGGTCCTGATGGTTGTCATGCAAAAGACATGGGAATTTTTAGAACACTGGATAACACTTTTTATTTAGGTTCATAGTTAAATATTTTTTTGTGGTGTGGAGTCAAAAGGCGAATCTCAGTTTTGCACAAAAAAAAAAGTATGCTTTTCATAAATTAGGTCAGATACAAGCTTTGACTCCTTCAACAATGCATTTACTTGGGTTGCAGCCCAGCTTGTGTCTGGAAGTTTTACAATATATCTTTAAATTTGCATTTTCTAAACAGACTAACAGATTGTCTATTATAAAGATCGATTAGATAAAAAAAAATGCCAATGAAGTTAAAGTGTCAGCAAATCTATTAAAGACCCAATAATCTGTTGTCAGCAAGTCAATCTAAGACCCAATAATTTGTTAGCAAGTCAATCAAAGACCCAATAATCTGTTGTCAGCATGTCAATCTAAGACCCAATAATCTGTTGTCAGCAAGTCAATCTAAGACACAATAATTTGTTGTAAGCAAGTTAATCTAAGACCCAATAATTTGTTGTCGGCAAGTCAATCTAAGACCCAATAGTTTGTTGTCAGCGAGTCAATCAAAGATCCAATAATCTGTTGTCTGCAAGTCAATCAAAGACCCAATAACTTGTTGTCAGTGAGTCAATCTAAGACCCAATAATTTGTTATCAGCAAGTCAATAACCCAATAATTTGATTTCAGCAAGTCAATCGATGACAGAATAATTTGTTTTTAGCAAGTCAGGCCAGATGACTTGGATACTGTTTGCCTGGCAACCTATCTTTCTCTTTGTAATGCAGAACATTGATAATTCATGACTAAAACCAGTAAAAGAATGATGTATCTTGAGGCCCTTTGGCACATCTATCAACCTACTGACATTATGTATAATATTTTCTGTGAATTGGGTTGAAAAAAAACCTTTGCGATCGTAAAAGATGATTTTAGACTACAATGATTTTAATAGGGTTAAACATCATGAAATTTTAACTAAGATAAAATCCAAATTTTATTAATTTGATTGGATAATATTCAATTGATTTTAGTGCTTAGCCATTCAAAATGGAAGTATCTACTAAAATTGAATTTTATCTTTAGTTAAAATTTCGTGAAATAGGTCCCAGACTGACTGCTTGAGGTTTCACATCTTCTTTTAAAGATCTCGATCTCACAAATTTTTAGAATTTTAATATAATTAAGGAAACTATGAACCCTTTGATTTAAAGATACATTAGTTAAAGAGTTAGTCATTCTTGCTATAATAATTCAAAAATAGATGATAAAAAAAGAAAAAATTGAAAATTTCATTCAAATTACTTCATTCTGAGCCAAGTTATCACTGTTTGTAGTTTTGACAAGATGCGTGCATTGTGGTAACCAGGGCAATGGTATATTTGAGACTTTGCCTCGCTTTCCCATTTTTAAATGGCGAACCGTAAAAATCGAGAGTTGATAATAAATGTGTAATTAATGTCTAATTAATAATTTAGATAACATTTCAGACTTAAAGAAAGACCTGCAATAGACAGATTTAACTCTTGAATAATGTATGTTTAAATCAAAATAAATATTGGAACCTGACAATCTGATTAAAATACAGATCTATATTTCATTTCGTTTTTTTTATACTTTCGATGGCCTACACTACATGAAGATCTGACAAGTTATAGCGATAGGTCACGTCAGGGGTCAAAAGACCGACCTATGACGTCAGACATTTGATTAATCAATCAGCATTGATGTTACTAGTGGATTACTCACAGTTCCGGGCAAAAAAGGTCAAACACTTGATTCGACAGACCATTTGATTGGCTGACCCTTCATTCCAGATCCAAGTGTAGTAAAGACAAGTAAAACGAAATTTTGAACTATAAAAACAAAACGAAATAGGATCTGTATTTTAACCAGATTGGGACCCTGATGAGTTATGTCCAGTAGAAATGGAAAAGGGGGTTGGGTGGCCGAATAGTTAGCACGTGCGTGCTGTATCATACGGCCTGTCATTGAGTCAACTGGCATGGTTTCGAATCCCCGGTTGTACGTGACAAGGAGTAGGGTCGTCTGTCCAGCCTCGTGGGTTTTCTCCGGGTCCTCCAGTTTCCTCCCACTGCTAGAGACCCCTACGCGTAAGTGAATTAATGAAAGAAAATTGGACCATATGTTAGTCTCTCTCTCTCTCTTTAAAAAAATTCCACAGACACTAAAATAATTTTAGATTTCAATTATTTGTGTGTGTGTTTAAATATATTTTCCTGTTAGAAAGTATTTTTAAACTATTGGGTTATTATATACATCTGGATGTAAATAATTATCTTTGTATATGACAGAAATTGAAATGTGTAATAATTATCTTTGTATATGACAGAAATTGAAACTTGTAATAAAAGATGTTGTAAATATTACTTCCTTTGAATCTCATTAAAAGTTCATCCAGATTTTCCGGCGTGGTTCCCCCTTGTCAGTGGGCATGACAAGGACAGCTGTCTAGTCCTTTGGATGAGACGAAAAACCGAGGTCCCGTGTATACATTGGAATGCACGTAAAAGATCCCTTGGCAGTTGGAATTCGATATAAGAGTAGGCGATAGTGCCGCTGCCCGGGCAAAATTTCCTTCATAGCACACTGTATGGCGTATGTCCGTCTTCATTAGCCCAGCATAGGAGCAGAAGAGGACATTAAATACCATTTCATTTCATTTTAATCTCATTAAAGAAAGGTCCGTTTTCCATGTAGGTGTTTTCGTGGCGTTTCCTCTGGTTACATGGAAATTAGCCCCATTTTCACCCGCGTTAACGCGTCCATGGTAAACAAACTTTGGTAGTGCCTCTTTAAAGTCTTTCATTTGGTGCTTGTTGACGCTCATTGGGGGAGGTGGATCATATGGTCTGTCATTGAGTCAACTGGCGTGGTTTCGATTCCCCAGTTTTACATGACAAGGAGTAGGGTTGCCTGTCCAATTTCGTGGATTTTCTCCGAGTGCTCTGGTTTCCTCCCACTGCTAAAGACCCCTACGCACAAGCGAATTATTGAAATAAAATTGAACCATATGTTAGTCCCAAAATGACCTAGTTTGTGTCGAGTGGACTCTGACCCTCTCTTTCTCTCTCTCTCTCTCTCTTCTAAATACCCCAGGATTAAAGTTACAATTTCATATTTTCTAAGAAAGTCAAAACATAATTATTTCTAAGTCTTTTGCTCAATAGGTTGTCAACTCACTATTATACGATCATAGGTGTCATTCTCACACTTAAAACTCATTTACACCGGAAATAATAACACAATTACCTCCCTTGTTTTCTATTCTCCACCATGGAGTAGTTATCTTCAAACGTTGGAATTTGAAGATGAAAATGATATTTTTGCCAATTTCTCAACTGGCAATAGTGAATTATAGGATTAATAGGATTATTCTTTAACAAGGTAGGACTGTTTATAGATACCATCTATTTTATGGCTTTTTTTTAATAAATTTTAAAAATATAACTTAAAAATATGAAATTGCAACTTTAAACTAAACTTGTAGCCAACAATATGGAAGTCATGAAATGATTTAGTTTGTATCGAGTGGATGTTATCAGTGGCGGATTAAGCTCCACCAAGGCCTGAGGCGGCAGTTGCTGGAGAGCCTATTTAAAATGGCGTGGGCCTAATTAATTTCGGGTCAGGGCCTATGTTGATTCCCGTTGGGCCTAAACCCAACCCCCCTAACATTCACTGTCTATGCGTTTTTAATCGAATCAGACAAGTCTAAAAAAATATTTTTTACAAAATCTTTGGGCCTGACTCCCTGAGGCTGCAGCCTCATCAGCCTCACTGATAATCCGCTACTGGATGTTATACCACATTTCTGTTTTGTTTGGGAAAGAACTTATTAAACTGATGGTATTATTATGGGTGTCAAGGGACGCCAACTTCCTTTCCATTATTAAACCTGTCACATTTTATCAACGAAGCGGTAAACTACTCTATATATTGGACCTTGACCTTTATAGGAGATCGACATTTATATTACAGCAATTACTCTACTTTCTATACTATGTTTTTCTAAAATGGCGAACAAATTTGAATAAAACTGACAATTCTTTTTCACTTGGATCAAAAACAAACGTATCAATTGTCAATATGGTTGATTTTTATATTTTGTATGGTGGCTGATTGGTATCATGTCGTGATGTCGCGTAAAATGTCGTACACTCGGCAAACCTCGGCAGATTCCGGTATCCTACATCTAGCCTCGGCTGTGTGACGGTAAGTGATATGTACCTACGCCTATACATTTGCGATGCGGCACCGGTTTACTTATAAGGGAAACTTGCCCGCGTTTAGAAGGAAGTTCTCAAAATTGCGTCGTTCGAAGAATGTGTAGAATTTTCAGTGCAAATTTGTCCTTGTCTAAAGAAAATCGGATAAACTTGAAAGAAAAACAGCTTCAAACTTTGAAAATTTTGTAAGATAAAACATTCTTCCAATACGTCGTCATCAATGACGTCATTGGTCGTCATGGACAACGCCATTGTAATCCGGGAACTTGAAAGTAGTTCTAATGGCGGACTTTGTTATACAGCCGAGATTAGATGTAGGGTACTGGAATCTGTTGGAGGTTTGCCGAGTGAAATGTCGTATTGTCGGGTTAAAATGTGATGGCGGGTTGTCGTGATGTCGGGTTGTCGCCTTATGAAGGACGATTGTTAAGGAGCCGGCTCTTTTTCCAGGCGAAACCAGTTGTCAAAATACACTCTTATAGTAATAGCCCCTCCACCACCACCACCACCACCCAGCTACAATCTCCGACCAGTATAAAATTGGGTTTCTAAGCAAGCTAGAATGTCTGGCTGCAAGCCTATAATAATAATAATAATAATAAGTGGATAAAATCTATTGAATGATAATCACATTCCAAGACATTTAATCCTGTGTTTTTTGTTTATTTTTTTTTTTTTTTTTTTTATTGTTTTGTTTTTTTGGAGGCGGGGGGGATCACAGCCTCGGTGGCTCTGTGAGCATGGGACTGAATAGCTTACTAATTATGAGTTCGATCCCGGTGTTGGCCGAGAAATTGATCGTCCCTTTAACTCGTCCGCTAAAATTGATCGCAGATATAACTCGTCCTCTAAAACTGACCTTGCGATTAAATCGTCCGCTAAAACTCATAGTCGCTTTAACTCGTCTCCCATTTAACTCGTCCCCTAAAACTGACCCCCACCCCCCTTTTAACTCGTTCGCTAAAACTGATCGTCCATTTAACTCGTTCGCGAAAACTGATCATCCCTTTAACTCGTCCGCTAAAACTGATTTCCCCTTTAACTGATCCGCTAAAACTGGTCGTCACTTTAACTCATCCGCTAAAACTAGTCATCGCTTTAACTCATCCACTAAACCTGATCACCCCTTTAACTCATCGTTCGCTAAAGGAGATCATCGTTTTAACTCATCGTTCGCTAAAACTGATCGTCCATGTAACTCGTTCGTTAAAACTTATTGTTCATTTAACTCGTCCGCTAAAACTGTGCTCCCCTTTAATTCGATCTCTTAATTCTATTTGGATTGATCAACGGTAAAAAGTACTATATTACACATATAGCAGCTTGATTAGTTCTTTTCTGAAATCCAATTAAAAGGGGCTGTCATATTTGCCTCGTGATCCCCGTAGTTTTTGAAAGCGCTAGCTAAGATGAAATTAGTTTTTTTTCTTTCTACAAATCTCATATTTCTATATAAGTTTACCTGAGAGTAGAATCTTTTATTTATTTTATATATAAGAATCGAATTTGTATATCATTTTCTTAAAAAAAAAAAAACCCATTTAATTGATTTTTATCCTCGAATGTATTTTACGGTATTATTTTTTTTTTTTTTTTTACATTTTTAACAAGTGTCCCACTCGTGGGCCCTGGCTGTAGTGCTGTCGACTTTTGAAAAGTCGCCATCACACTACGTAAGCCAAAATGCAAGCGAAAATTCGAGGAAAATATATTTCATCCGTAGACTCAGGTGATAATATTTTCAAATGGTATAACATGATATACCTTATATAATGATGTCGCTCAGTATCCGTAATATAATTATTATCCATTGGAGATTAATGATCATCTATTTTAACTAAAAGCTGGTTATGTTTGACTACGTCTGAAATCCCTGGCCAGAACATCTTTCTAATAGTCGTTATAGGATAGAGATAATTGTGGTTCGTAATTATCTCTGATACTCTAATGATTAGAGGCGTATCAAGGGTTATTAGTTTCCAGGAGTAATAATAATCAGTTGGGTTATTGTAAGCTGATTTAGTTCACGTAACCCACAGGTAGAGAGGATCACCCACGGGGAATGAAATATAGAAAACTATTAACAGTTATATAACACTATTTATTTTTTTATTTAATTTATTCATTTATACAACAACTATCATTAATCACTAAAACAATGTCCCTCATGCAGTATTTCATAAGATTTATATATATTTGTCGCTGCTACAATAGTCTGATTTTGTTCACACGGCACGGCACAGTATTCTGTATATTTTAATACGCTATTCAACCTTCTGACAGTTCTCCAACTGATTGACGAGTCTGGATCTTTTTTTTTCTTTTTTTTATTATTATTATTATTCTAGAAACTGTTACATTCGTTACTATGGAAACAAAAGTCATTCATCCTGTCCTGATTGGAACTTTAACAAATACATTTTAACCTATGTTTTAAATCGCCAAAGTTTGACATTTCATTTCAGTTTAATTGGAAAATGATTCCATGCTTTAAAACCTGAATGATAAACAGAATTAAGAGCTGAGTATTATTAATGCATTTTGGAACAACAACATTATAGACCTTTGATCTAGAGATATACAAGTGAACATCTTCTACTAAATTAAACTTAGATTTCATATAATATATGGGACAAGCATCCTTAACGATTTTGTGCATTAAAATCCTTATATAAATTTGGAATTCTCCTGAACCGATATCAGGTATGACACGTATTATTTTATCGTGGATTGTAGTCTGTGGATTGTAGTCTGTGTTATTGTTGATTGTAGTATATGTTATTGTGGATTGTAGATTATGTTATTGTGGATAGTAGTTTATGTTATTGTGGATTGTAGTCTATGTTATTGTGGATTGTAGTCTATGTTATTGTGGTCTATGTTATTATGGATTGTGGTCTATTTTTTGTAGTCTGTGTTATTGTAGTCTGTGTTATTGTGGATTGTAGTATATGTTATTTTGGATTGTAGATTATGTTATTGTGGATTGTAGTTTATGTTATTGTGGATTGTAGTCTATATTGTTGTGCATTGTAGTCTGTGTTATTGTGGATTGTGGTCTGTGTTATTATGGATTGTGGTCTATTTTTTGTGGATTGTAGTTTATGTTATTGTGGATTGTAGTCTATTTTGTTGTGAAT